TTATCTTCTTTTGGTCATACATCTTGACGTGATGTGTATTCAAGGTGCAGAGTTTATCAAACTTGAACTTTGTAATGCAATGTATTTCACATGAGCTTGCGTTTTCTCTCACGCATTCATGTGCATATGAATGGAAGTCAGTAGGCTTGTTTGGGATGATCAAAATCTGCACTAAACCAATCGCCGGTGATCACCAAGAGATGCATAACAGTTAGAAATGTGTCAGAGTGTGGTCCATCATGCTCTGATGTCATGCTGATGTAAAAAAAGTGCACTGACTAAAGGTATGATAAAAAATAATTTGCTGACGACACAACTTAATTCTCATTGGTTTAAACAATTGTGATGTTTTGTTCCATTCCAAAACTCTGACATCATGTTTTACATTTATAAATATTCCTAAATATACACAGTGTGACCTCCGTATGAAATAGGTAACTGTTTATATATTAAATATGTGTGTGTGTGTCTTTTTTGAAGTAAATTAAACAAATTAAATTAAAAACATTTATTTTCATATAACAGCAACAGAATTTAAATTATATCCAATGTATTAGCAAGAAAGCACACGAGTGTGAATCACACAATATCTGCCTGACTGATCCACTATGAGAAGTAAGAACGGTTCATCTTGACACTTATTTCACTCCTCCCTGACTGTAGCCGCCTACTCCTGTCTACTGTCAAGGCGAGGCATTTGAAATATCAGATGAGCCTAAGGGAATAAAAGTGTAGTGTAACCGCCCCTTAAAGAGATAGGTCACCTAAAAATTAAAATTCTGTCATCATTTACTCACCCTCCACGTGTTCCTAACCTGCATGAGTGCCTTTCTTCTGTTGAACACAAAAGAAGATATTTTGAAGAATGTCGGAAACCAAACAGTTAAAGGAACCCTTTGTGACTTCCACAGTATGGAAAAAGTACAATGGAGGTCAATGGCAACCATCAACTGTTTGGTAACCAAAATTCTTCACGATATCTTGTTTTGTGCTCAGCAGAAGAAGAAAGAAACTCATACAGGTTTGGAACAAGTGGAGGGTGAGTAAATGATGCCCAATTATTATTTTTGGGTGAACTATTCCTTTAAGACCCAGATTACCGGCAAGGATTAACATGATTTCAGTCATTTTATTAACTTCAACCACATATTTTAATAATATTTCTCAAGTAATAAACAAATGTTATAGATGGCATGCTTAAGAATATTGCCCTTAATTTTGATGTATTACAATTTTGGACCTGAATCAACATTTCATGCATGGATAGCTCTGCGTTATCCAGCCATATGTTTATACAGTAACTGCTCTACAGAACATAACTTCCAGGTATTGCTAAGAATGGGTCACAGAGGTGAGCCAACGCCTCTCTCTTTCTTTCCCACTGCTTCTCTACGATTCAGGCGTGGCTGATCAAATACGCCCATGTCTACACCTGCTCTGTTACCACTTGTTGTGTTTTCAGTCTATGCGTAAGCCTTTTTCGTGACAACACATTACTCACTCTTTATTCAGACACACCCTTAGCAGCTAATTCTCCAGCTTGTCTAAACTCCCTGGCAAGAGAACACAGACATTTTTGCTGGGTTTTGGTTTGATTTAATTATTTATTTCACTAGAAAAGTATCTAATCATGGACAATTGTATAGAGAAGGACGTATGCATTTTCCCTGCAAGCGAGAGTGACTTTGTGAGGACCTTGAAAGGGTCAAAGTACAGATGCGTCTAGACACTGTGGCAATGAAACATCTGTCTGCTTTCACAAATACCATTCAGTGATTTGGTCTGTCATTCACACACCAGATGCTAACTCATCAGATAACAGATGACGCACACCTAATTATTTCATCAGCCACCAAAGACTAACCCATTTTCACTCTTACGCAATCACAAAAACTCTTCCGGTGAATGCTGCTATACTGTCAGTATATACAAACATCAAAGACTAGAGGAGTTATAAATCATAGTTTTATCAGCCTTATATAACACTGTTCACTTTTATACCACTGTCTGACCACTGTCAAAAGCCTGACACTTTTTACTACTTTTCAACATTGAATAGTTGACCTTTGGGGTAAGTGGTCTCAATGGGAACCTGTCGTTAAATAGCATATTATATTGCGGTTTTTCAGCAAAAATGTAAACCGTTATTAGTTACATAATTGCAGATAACAAACAATTTTGTGCTTATGTTATCACACACAAAACAATTTGTGAAACAGCATATTGTAAGGATCAACCGATATTGTAATTAATCAATTGCAATTAACACCTAACCTGAGAACAAAGATCAGTTTGTTAAATCTGTCTTGATAGCATTGTCTTAATGCCAAGTGCGTTTTATTGTGTTCACTGTTTTACCCAACAGCTATTATGAGAGAGAGAGAGAGAGAGAGAGAATTGAAAGTCAGAACCCACAAAAATATTCTGAATTATTATGCTTTTAAAAAGTTCTGCATATGACAAATTTGACAAAACCATAGCATAAAACAAGCATTAATCTGGACGTTTAAATCAAAAATTTGTTTTATTTTGTAATTTTTATAATTACTTAGATTCTTAATTTTTGAATTTCATTTTATTTTATTTTTTTATTATTATTATTATTTTTTATTTTTTTTGCATTTGTAAGAACCTCCCTGTTTGACAAACAGCAGCTGCTTTCTCTACAGTATTTGTTTTTTTGTTGTTGTTAAAAAGAGATCATTTAGAGCAACTAAAACTGTAAAATAAGTCAGTAAAACAGCAGTGTCTGCCTTGTATCACATGACTGAGTTTATGACTCATGGCTGGGCTCAAAGGTTGAAGACTTTAATAAAAGGGTGTGAGCAGCATCTCTTTTTCTACCCTAACAGGTGAACGTTCACACATTCAGTCAATGTAAATATAATAAAAGCAAAGGGTGATGTCAAGGTTACAGACATAAAGTAACATAACTGACCAATGGTAATGACGGAGTAAAACATCCAAGTAAACTCAATCTCAAACTAAAATGAACAAACCAGCAAACAAATATTTACTCTTCCTAATTTGACATAAAATAAGATCCTACTGGAGTCTCTCTCTTTCACTTATCTTTATCTGGATCATACTTGATTCTGAAAGGATATTCTTTCATCTTTAGAATTCTTGGCTAAGGATTTAAGAGAGTATTGCTATTTTTGTTTTCATGTCAGGTGTCGTTCGAGCAGTGAATAAAGGAGCAGTCCAACAATGAATAAAGCAAATTGAACATGAATACAAGTAAAAACATGTTCTCCAAGCAACCCTTTAACGTGTGTTTTACTCTTGGGATAAAAGGAGTCCAGCTGCCCAACCTCTGCCTTCAAATCCTCAAGATCTCTCTTCTGGAAACATAATTACAATGAAGACAATTCCTGTAACACTATTGGTCACCACTAGATGACAGGCTTACTCAAATAATGCTTGTCCACAAATATTAGAATATTAAGTCTTTGCTTCTATATATACAGTGTTGGGAAGGTTACTTTGGAAATGTAATAGGTTACAGATTCCAAGTTACCCTATTTAAAATGTAATAAGTAGTGTAACTATTTCAGTTACTTAATTGCATTTGATTGATTTCTAATGTTTTCAACGGCTGATCATTTTTAAAATGTGAATCAGGCAGGGTTAACCTTACAGTAGTAGCCTACTCAACACTGATTGACTCAATGCTGTCAGACTTTCGAAATCCTTCATCATTTGTATTAAGATTATAATAATTTCATTTTAAAGCACAGCCACCACAAAATCAGACTTTGAGATCATTCTAAACCACAAGAAGAAATCGTTTAATAGCTATGATAATGCTTTTGAAATCAAATCTTTGCATAGCTATGCCAGAAAACACTGGCATCTAACAATGCTGTTAATCTTACAAAATAAAGCAAATACACGAATCCAAATAGGAAATAAAACAGTTAGCCTATCGAATAAGCATGTGTCCTATTCTGTGTCCTAAGCGCCTGAAACAATGGTGTCTCATATTTTTAGAGCAGTTGGAGCAATTTATGAAAGAAATCAATCAAATCTGTACGTAAGCGTGTGTGAAAAATATTCAGATGTCAGATTTGTAAGTAACTGTAACTGTAATTGATTACAATTACATTTATTTTGTAATTAAATTACATAATTCTGCTACATGTAACTCCCCAAGGCTGTCTATATAAAATCATATCATTGCATACTACACCCTAAAACACGACCAGCAGTGCATACACTCTCTGGAAAGGAGAAAAGTGGGGCGGTACCTTTTCAAAAGGTACACTTTTGTACCTTATTTACACCGCAAGGGTGCATATTAGTTCTTAAAGTGTACATATTACCTCGTGAAAGGTTATGCCGCCCCAGTGACAGCTTTTCTAACTTTTTCTCTGAGAGTGTATAAGTTCAGAAGTTCTTCGTTAAATACAGCACACGTTTGGTCGCTTTTAACACTAGACTTGCTTAGGCAGGGGTCACCAAACTTGGTCCTGGAGGGCCGGTGTCCTGCAGAGTTTAGCTCCAACTTTCCTCAACAACACACCAGCCTGAAAGCTTCAAGTAGTCTATACCTACCCTGCGTCCCAATGTGCATACTATCCGCCCTAAATAAATATTATTGAAAATTACTACGATCACAGCATTCAGGATGGATAGCATGCACATTGGGACGCAGGCCTAGTAAGACCTTGATTAGCTGGTTCAGGTGTGTCTGTGACCCTAAGGTATTGTCATTTAAATGGTCTTTCTGCCCGTTTGGGGCGATAAATGGCAGCAGTTACTGCAAAATGAAAACAGGTTTACCATCCTCACACTACTAAATGATTTGATTAAACGCGTATTAAAGAGCTTAAACAACTTAAATTTGACTGTAGCTTCAACATACTCATAAACAGAAGCTGCTGAGGTTGTGAAGTCGAGCACACTAGATGTGACTGGAATCAATGCCATCCAATGACTGCGTTACGGGGACGTTCAGCCGAAGTTCCGCCCTCGTGTCTGTTTGTCCGGTCCATATGATCACGGGAGAGCGTATGGAGTGCGTGCGATCTCAGACGGAGAGATTCCTCGGCTCCTGAGTGGATTGTGACGCGTGTCTGAGTGTAATGTCACGCGCGGTGGGGCTGCGTGTCTGGGACAGGTGTGTCACCTGTGGCTGTGAACAGAGGGAATGGGCACGAGCAGCAACGTGCCGATGAAACGTATCGCTTTCCTTGAACCTCGCTGTTGTTTTCCGATCAGAAGCGTGTTTGGATAGTGCAGCGGTCGGGCCAAGCCGGTGACTTTTGACTATTGATTGATCGCGAACGGGTCGTGACGCCTTTGGAACGGGTGAAGACACGCAAACCACTCCCTGAGCACTGGACGCGGAGCTCTCTTTTTGATTGTGCATCCAGTGTGAACGGGATTGTGCGCGGTTCTGACGCATTAGCGAACCTGGCTGCGGTATGTGCGAGACGGTGATGGCCGTGTCTCAGCTGGACATCGAGCCTCATCCACCGGAGAACGGCTTCGTTACCCCCGAAACTAATATATCGCCCGATTTGCTCTCGCGGATCGACAGCGGCGTTTTGCCGAGCGTGGGCGGCTTCGGGAGATTTCAGAAACAGCTGATCGTCTTAACATGGATCCCGGCCATGTTCATTGGCTTCAGCCAATTTTCGGACAGTTTTCTCCTGGCTGAGCCAAAGACTTGTGCGCAAGTGCAGCGGAATAACAGCGATCCTTCACTCAATGTTACGCAGGCGATATTAAATATCAGCCTCAATAATGCAAGCAACTCCGCTAATGCGTCATCACAATGCATCTGTACGCAGTCGGGATGCGAACTGGAAATCGGACTAGAGCAAAATGTTGTCACAAAGGTAAGTGTGTGTGTGTGTGTGTGTGTTCACAAACTCAGTTTGCCCTCGGTTTCTCAGGGATAAACTTGAGCATTGGGCTGGCAGGCAGTTTCAAGCTCCCCTTATGGTTTTACTACAAATAAAACAAACAAAAAAAAAACATTGTTACTATGATCTTGCTGCACTAACCATAGTTTAACCATGGTATTTGTAGTAAACTACAAATGATAATAAATGCGCCCCCAAAAAATCACGCTACTACATCTTTACAATAATAAAACCATGGTTAATTTTCGTAATGGACTTGTGTAGTAGACAAGCATGCAGTTGCATTAAACACATTTTTGCCATTTCCATCAGAGTACCCACATGAATGCACGGGGAAAGGTGAGTTTGTTTGCAAAGCATCCAGGGGCCAGCATTACAGCGCAAAGGACCGACTCTGTTCAGAGAATGGCATTGCTGACTGAGACGAATATGAGTCATCTGCATCAACAGCTGACAAGGTGCCAGCCATCACGGGGTGTCATGTCACTGGGTTCCCTCATGCTGACCAGATGACATAACCGCTCTGAAAAAAAACAACAGCACCCTTTTAACCATCTGCGTCCTGCCCTTCGGCCTCCATTAGCCTGTCGGTGCATTGTGCAATAGTGTATATAGGTCAGCAAACTCTGAGGATTACACAGTAATTCTGAGCAGCCTACAGAGATAAGAGAAAGCCACCGCAGGCCTGTTGAGTTTATCATATTAGTGCCACATTATGTCCTTCCCTGCTAATCTGGTAACTGGAGGAAGATTCCCTATTAATAATGGCTATGGGCAAGGAGTCTTCATCAAATGTGCTGTAAGACTCAAATCTTCATCTTGTTTTCTCTGTCTAGATGCTCGTGTTATGACGTGATGTATCATGTACAAGCAGAGAGGCAGATTAAGTGCTACTTTATTCCATATTTGCATAAAACATTCGTAAAATGAATTTGAAAAAGACCCACAGAGCTGTATGCAGTGCACAGAGCCTGCAATGAGAGTGAGTGAATCAGCAAACTTGTACGAAAGCATCAATTTACCCATGGCTTTGCTGTTCTCTCTGAAAGGAAATCCTGTAACTGTGTTGGCATGCATTTCCAGCAATCAAATGTGAGCTATCATTTCTATTTATTTATTGAAGCTGTTGTCCATATGATCAATTTGGAGGTGTAATTTATGGTTGCTGCATTTTAAAAAAATGGTTTCTTTAATATCACCTTCTATACCAAGTAAGGCATAATGTCCAGCATGCCATTTTTTTTAGGTTTGTGTCGGGGTTCTGATCACTCTGTCACGTTTATGTTGTGCATTTATCCTGTTTTTTTTTTTTTTTTTTTTTTTAAACCCGCTTTAATTTACCCATGGCTTTGCTGTTCTCTCTGAAAGGAAATCCTGTAACTGTGTTGGCATGCATTTCCAGCAATCAAATGTGAGCTATCATTTCTATTTATTTATTGAAGCTGTTGTCCATATGATCAATTTGGAGGTGTAATTTATGGTTGCTGCATTTTAAAAAAATGGTTTCTTTAATATCACCTTCTATACCAAGTAAGGCATAATGTCCAGCATGCCATTTTTTTTAGGTTTGTGTCGGGGTTCTGATCACTCTGTCACGTTTATGTTGTGCATTTATTTTTTTTTTTTTTTTTTTTTTTTTTATACATCCGCTTGCTACATACAGTAAGTAATTGGACATGGTATATTAATTTGAGCTGATATCTTATTAGCTCAAAACTACAAAATGAGCACTGTTGAGGTGCTTCGGGAACAGGGTTGAGAGCCTCTGAACTAGATGCATTCATGTCTGAAGTCTCGAGTAAATAATAACTGTGTCCTTTTCTTATCTAATCTTTTAAGTCAAAGTCATACAGGTAGAGGCATGCTACCACACGTTTGGGGCCATTTAAAAGTCTTATGCTCACCAAGGATGCCTTTATTTGATCACAGAAATACAGTAAAAATGGTAATATTGTAAAATATTATTACAATTTAAAATATCTGTTTTCAAAGTGAATATCTGTTAAATTGTAATTTATTCCTATGGTCAAAGCTGAATTTTCAGCATCATTACGCCAGTCTTCAGTGTCACATGATCCTTCAGAAATCATTCTGATTTGCTGCTCAAGAAACATTTCTGATTATTATCAATGTTGAATACAGTTGTGCTGCTTAATATTTTTGTGGAAGCCGTGAAACAGTTCTGCAAAAGGCAGCAAAGTTCATACATTTCATGAACAGTTTAGTACCAGTGTCGATGTTGTGAGAACAGCATTTATTTTAAAGATTTTTTTTTTTAAATATTGTCACTGTTGATCAGTTTAATGCATCCTTGTTAAATAAAAGAATTAATGTATTAAAACAAATCAGTCAGTTTAATTTTGTTTTAATTCAGTTTAGTACCAGTGTCGATGTTGTGAGAACAGCATTTATTTTAAAGATTTTTTTTTTAAAATATTGTCACTGTTGATCAGTTTAATGCATCCTTGTTAAATAAAAGAATTAATGTATTAAAACAAATCTTATTGACCTCAAACTTAAAATAAGCCAATAAATTGGAGATAATGAAGTTGTATAATATGTTTAAATAAAAATACAAATACAAATAATAAAAAAATACACTAATTTTAGGTGAATTTAGGCAACACAGCATTGAATCTTGAATAAGTATTTGTTGATGTATTTGGATTTTATAGTTTTTGTCAGTTCAGTGTCCTCATCTTCCACAGTCAGTTTCTTTGTGTTCAGTAGATGAAGAATTAGTTTCAGGTAGGAAACACTGACTGGAAAGGGCATCTGTGAAGTCCTGAAATGACCCAATATCTTACAGTGTGTGTCATGCCTTTGTGGCACCGGGTCTTATGTTTTACAGTCAGCTAACAGAGCCTCAGACAAAAACCAGTCTATCACCTGAACAATTTGACTAAGTCTGTTATTTAAATAGTTATGAATCTCATTGCACTTAAAAATAACTAGTAGTACAAATAAATAATGCATGTGACACCTGTAGACACTTAAATGTTTCTCATTTAAGCTTTCTTTTTTTAAATAATCTAAGCTATTATAAATCTCGTACATCTGCTCAAAGTGAGTCTTCACTGTATTTGAGCCATTGTTTCTGATGAAGACATGCACTGCTCCCCACAAATTCCCCAGCCAGGCCGCTAAAGCTTCTTCTTTCGAACCTTGAGACAGGTTTTCTCCTGTCAGTGTGATCTTCGGGGAAAGTGAGCTGTTTGCAGGCATCTCATTAATAAAAAGCTGCATGCGGCAACTCGTGTACGGATTCGTTATTGACCTCATATGCGTGATTGGCATAGTATTTCACCTGCTTTAGCTCTAATTCAATGCATGCTTTGCATTTCTCATGCATTTTGTGGATAGTAACTGGTGAAAGATTCATGTGTGATGGCTATTGGTGTTTTTTGTCGACTTTACTGACGGTATCTGCTGGCACCATATTTTTTCGGTTATTTCCTTGTGCAGTTTTGAGCTCCTCTCAGAAGACGTGATGCTTGCAAATGCCGGAATGATCAATATTTGTTCAGTTAGGTTGGCTTTGAGGTGTGCTTTTGTTTGTTTTTTGACATGGTTTGTTGTCATACGGTGATCATATAGGTTTTTATAGTGGTGTCTCAGATGTTGGTACATATTTGTGGTATTGTGCCATTTTTTGGAAAAACATTTGATAGGTCTTGCAGATTACCCAAAACCATAGTGATCCTATCCTCTCTAACTGCTGATGTACAATTGCTTTTGGCAACAATTTATTATTGTGCCTTGCATTCATATTTTCTATTCTAATTGTTGTGCATTTTGGTAATGATTTGTACAACTTAAACAGAAAGGTCAAATCTTGCATATACATCAAGTGCTTAACATTAGAATAAGGCACAAATTGGTAGAAAATTGGCATCATTCACCTCAGTAACCTGGTTTGGTTTAGTTCTAAGCACCAAAGTTCATAGTACCCAGCGCTGTATATTAACCGCTTGCATGTAATCTGTATTACGTAACCAGGTTCCAAAAATTAAGTGTTTGTAATTAGTTTATATTACATTTTAAAATGCTCATAATCAGACTACAGTTTTATTGAATACAAGATTACATATTATACACAAGGTCACATGACATGCAGGTAAACCGGAATAATATTTCATATTTTTATTAAGTGTTTTATTTTGATTGTTGTCATTTAAAAAAAAGATTAATTTTAATTTATCATTTGTATAATTTTAATTATTAGCTTTTAATTAAACTCACAAACCCCCTGCAGTTTCTTCACGAACCCCAGTTTGGGAAACTTTGATGTAATATAATGTTTAGTGCACTTTGTGTTGTTAATAACAATGAATGGAATATATTATATTCTTTCTCTTTGTAGCTTAATATCAGTATCATACAAGAGTATCCTATTAAATCAATGTGATTTATCAAGTTAGGTCAAAAGTAATCTCAAAGTAATCAAAAAGTAGTCTGGTTGTAATACCGGAAATGTGTAATGTAATGGATTATGTTACTAACTACAATTTTTGTCATGTAATTTGGAATCAGTAACAGACTACAATTTGTAAGTAATCTACCCAACACTGATAGTACTGTACCATCATGCAAAGATCATAATGTCTCACAAAGTTTCATTAGGTCAATGAGATAGATTAATAATAAAATAACTCTAGAGGGGTTTTACCATGCTGACTGTTAATACACTAAAGCAGTGGTTCCCAACACTGGTCCTGGAGGCACCCCAACACTGCACATTTTGCATGTCTCCTTTCTCTGACACACAAATTTCACATCTTGAAGTCTCTACTAATGAGCTGATGACCTGAATCAGGTGTGTTTGATTAAGGAGACATGCAAAACGTGCAGTGTTGGGGTGCCTCCAGGACCAGGGTTGGGAACCACTGCACTAAAGTACAGCAAGCTATCAGCAAACTCAGCAACTCGGTCTGCATTTGCACCATAAATAAATGCACAACATTAAACTCTCA